CAAAAAATATGGAATAAATTAATTGACCAACTAAAAATATATATACAAAAAAAATTAGCCGGGCATGGTGGCACATGCCTTGTAGTCCCAGAAAAAAAAAAAAATGCATTATTTGAGCAATTTTTAATTTTTTAAATTCTGTTTGTAGTATGAAGGAAGTATGGATCCAATTTTTTTTCACATTATGTAGGATTAAAGAAAAATAAGACTTCGCTCTTTCCCTCTGCATAGTTACTACAAATTTAAATAAACAAACATAGGCTGGGCAAGGTAGTTATGCCTGTAATCCCAGCACTTTGGGAGGCAGGAGGATTGCTTGAGGCTAGAAGTTCAAGTCTAGGCAACATAGCAGGACTCTGTCTCTACATTTTAGCTGGCCCTGGGAAGGAATATAATGCCAATGTTTACTGATAATCTGAATTAACATTCCTATACCCTACTGGAAACTCTATGTCTTGATTCTGTGATCTGCAGGCCTCTAGGTACCATGTTATCTTTTTAATTGTTCTCATTCTCCTTCTACCTCCTTTTCCTTCCACCATCCCTCCAATGTAGGTGTTTCCTAGGATTAAATCCCACTTCTCACCTGCCCATTCTTCTTTTTAAAAATCGTATACACTTCTAAGGATTCATCTATTTTGCATATGGAAGACCTTTAAATCTATTTATTTTTTTCTAACTCTATATTTGAAACTCATCATATTTGGAATTTTATATTTATTTGATTATTTGATTAATGCCTGTTCCCCTCGTAGACTGGTCTGGGAAGGACTATTCTATTTTCCTTGCCATTGGCCCTAGTTTCTGGCACACAGTAAGTTGTTAATAAATATTTTCACATGAATAAATATTTAGCACTGATCTTTTTCCTAAACACTGGATCTTAATTTTAATTTTTATTTTTGAGATAGAGTCTCACTCTGTCCCCTGGGCTAGACCCATGGCGTCATCCCAGCCTACAGCAACTTCAAACTCCTGGGCTCAAGTGATACTCTTGCCTCAGCCTCCCGACTAGCTGGGACCACAGGTGTGTACCACCATGGGACTAATGTTTTCTATTTTTAGTAGAGATGGGGTCTCATTTTTGCTCAGGCTGGTCTTTAACTCCTGACCTCAAGCAATCCTCCCACCTCAGCTTCCCAGAGTGCTAGGATTACAGGTGTGAGCCACTGCACCCGGCTGGATCTTAATTCTATGATGATTACCTTTTGGGCATTCCTCATGGCGCATCACAGTCAATTTGCTCAGGTCAACAAATATTTACTGAGTACCAATATTTGCCAATATTTACAATAACAATACTGTATCAGGGCCCAGGGCCTATACCTATTCTAAAGAAAGAAAAAGCACAATTGTGTGGCGTATGTGTTTTTAATTGGTATGACCTGCTTCATCAGTACGGGGTAAAAATCCCATTCATTTATTTTCCCAATTAATTTCACAGTTTGGGCTCTTATTAGGAAATCCTTATTAGGAAAACTTGAGGCTGCCTCTCTTACTTAATTTACCAAAAACTACTGGAGCTATTCAGCCCAAAGAAGTTTGACTTGCTTCCAGACAAGAGGGAACTGAAACTTCCAAATACTCTGCTGACCAGATTTTTGGCTACCAAAAACATTTGGCTGCTAGCTAGTGTTGCCACTGCAAGTTGCCTTTCCTCAACTCCATGTCTTTTTGGTCCCCTGCCATGATGTCCTGGATGCATAGGTTGCAAGTGGGCTAAAAGCATGGACTCCCAAGTTTTCCCTATGCTTGGATATTGTTCTCAAAAAGCATGAGTAGTTCTTGGTAACTGAATTGGGATGGCCTTCAAGGCTCAGCCATGTACTGTGCAGGAACCAGCTCTTCCTGTGCCCACTAGGCTCTGTTGTTGCAGTCTAGTTTTCCTATTCCCCCTACAGAGTTCTTCTTTAGGACCCTGAGCTCGTGAGACAGGACTATCTCAGCCTATCAGAAAGTCTTATAATGTTGAACCTGAAAAGGTAAGAGGTTAAGGTCTTAACCTCTTTTCTCCCCGGAAGCTCTCCTGTACAAACTTCCCCAAAACCAGTTTGGGCTAACTAGGGCTACTTGGAGGAATGGTCTTGTCAGGATGTGCTATTAGATATTTTTGCTGGGGCAATTGGGTACCTATGCTTCTTCCATTTGTATCAGTAAAAGCGGTTTCTCAAGTGACTCCTTTCTAAGCAAAGATGGTCTATTCCTGGTGAGTTGAGGACTTTAGCTTGCCATGGAAATGACTGGCAGTTTTTTAAGATCTGCCTCCCCACACGCCCTATGGCATGTTAATAGAATTATATATTAAACAGAAGCAGTACAAAAGAGGGAGTGAATGCCTTGGGGTATGAGGGTTGGGGGGATTGGTCAGAGAAGACTGTCTAGAGTAGGGGACCATCAAATCTTCATTTTAAAGTTGAAAGTGAGAATATCAGGGTAGGAGGGGATTAGTATTTCAGGTAGAAATACCAACAGTATATTCAAGAGAAGGCAACCAAAGTGAATAGCAGTGGGCATCTACTTCCTGGTAGAATACCATCTGTTGGATGGTAGGAAGCCAAGATAGGAGAGGTAGGCTGAGCTTACATCATAACTGGCTTTGTGTGAGATGCTAAGCATCTTTCAGTTCACCTTGGTGATGAGAAACTAGTGAGGAATTTGTTAGTGTGCTTTTCACCTTCCCTGACCAGCATGCATATTTATGTGCCTCTGACCTTGTGTAGATATTATCATCCTATGAGGTACTCAGCCAGGAAATATCAGAATCAATTTAAAAGTTTTTTTTTCCTAATTAGAATTTTAGAGGAAAATGTTAGAAATACTCTTCTAGACATTGGCCTAGGCAAAGAAAGAAGACCCCAAAGGCAATCACAGCAGCAACAAAAATAAGTAAATGGGACCTGATCAAACTAAAAAGCTTCTGCACAGCCAAAGAAACTGTCAAGAGAGCAAACAGACAACCCACAGAATGGGAGAAAATTTTTGCAAGCTACACATCCGATAAAGGGCTGATAACTAGAATTTATTTAGAACTCAGGAAAATCAGCAAAGAAAAATCAAACAATCCTATAAAAAAGTGGGCAAAGGACATGAACAGAAATTTTTCAAAAGAAGACAGAATAATGGCCGACAAACATGAAAAAATGCTCAACATCTCTAATCATCAGGGAAATGCAAATCAAAACTGCAATGATATATCACTTATCTCCAGTAAGAATGGCCTTTATCAAAACGTCTCCAAACAATAAATGTTGGTGTGGATGCAGACAGAGAGGAACACTCCTACACTGCTGGTGGGACTGCAAACTAGTTCAACCTCTGTGGAAAGCAATATGGAGATGCCTTAAAGCAAGGAGATCTACCATTTGATCCAGCAATTCCACTACTGGGCATCTACCCAAAAGATCAAAAAAACACTCTACAAAAAAGACAACTGCACTCGAATGTTTATAGCAGCACAATTCACAATTGCAAAGTTGTGGAAACAACCCAAGTGCCCATCAATACATGAGTGGATTTAATAAAATGTAGTATATGTATACCATGGAGTACTATTCAGCTCTTAGAAACAATGGTGATATAGCACCTCTTGTATTTTCCTGGATAGAGCTAGAACCCATTCTATAAGTGAAATATCTCAAGAATGGAAAAACAAGCACCACATGTACTCACCAGCAAATTAGTATTAACAGATCAACTTCTAAGTGGACATATAGGAATAACATTTATTGGCTGTCGGGCAGGTGGGAGGGGGTAGGAGGGAATGGGTATATACAAACATAACGAGTGAGATGTGCAAAATCTGGGGGATGGACACGCCTGAAGCTCTGACTGGGGGGGGGCATGGGCAATATACATAACCGTAACATTTGTACTCCCATAATATGCTGAAATGAAAAAAAATAAAAAAACAAAAAAAAAAGGTTTTTTTTTTTCCTATTAATTAACAATCTCATCTATTCACATCCTATTTGAATCCACAAACCCCTCTTCTTCCTATTTGATCTATGCTGCCTTGACTCAGTTGCTCACTACCTTTTACCTAGATTGTTTCAAGTGTCCAAACTGGTCTCTCTGCTTGATGTTTCCTCGTTCAGTCCAGCCTACACACTGCCACCAACATGATCTTCCTTAAATAAATACTGAAGTCACCACCCTTCCCCCAAACCTCCAGTACTCTCTCTTACATGTAGAATAAAATCCCACTTGGTTACCTTGGTGTTTTAGTCTTCCCACAAATTGATCTCCATGAAACATTTTAACCCTTTCTGTCATTTTACACCCCACCCCTCTTTCAACCTCCAACCACACCAGACTTAGTCATCTTCCTCAACCTTCTTTATACCTTCTTGTTGTTGTATCTTTGTTCCTATTATACTTTCTCCTACCCCCGCCCCCCCATCTGTTTTTCAAAGCTTGGCCCAAATAACATCAGCTGCATAATAAATTCCCCCAAACTTAGTGGCTCAACATAATAAAAATTTCTTATCTCCCATAGTTTCTGTGAGTCAGGAATTTAGGAACATCTTGGCTGAGCTGTCTGGCTTGGGATTGCCTGTGAGATTGCAGTCATCTGAAGGCTTGACTGGTATGCAGGATGATCTGCTTCCAAAGTGGTTCACTCTCATGGCTGGCAAGCTGGTAGTGGCTCTGGTGGGAGCCTTCAGTTTCTCTCCAGGGCTGTTTGAGTGTTCTTTGTGGCAGCTGGCTGCCCTAAGAGCAAGCAATCCAAGAGGTCAAGGCAGAAGCCACAATGCCTTTCATAATCTAGCCTCAAAGTCACATACCATCACCTTTATCACACTATGGTCACACAGACCAGCTCTGATGTGAGGGAAAATACATAAGGGCATGCATATCAGGAAGCAGTGATCACGAGGGACAATCCTGGAGGTTGGCTAACAACATTTCTTCAAGAGGATTTTTAGATTCCCTAACTCCCTATGGCCCGCCATGCCCTGTTCCCAATAGCTCACGTTCTTTAAAAATCAGAGCTCCTGGAGATCTCCCAATACAATCACATTTTCTCTTTTTCTTAATTATTTTGTATTATAAAGTGTAAACCTGCAAAATTGCTTGGGTCAATTATCAAAGGACACTATTATTTGTTCTTTAATATCCTAAACTGTCAGAAACTTTGTTGCTCTAAAATCTTATCAGTGAGAACAGAATATTCCTTTCTTGCCTGGAGGATTTGAACACTTTTAAGTCACTTTGACTTAGAGAAGCAGCCTCAATTTACAGTGTAGAGGTTCAGATAAAGGGTTTTCAGATACAATATTGCACATTAATCTTAAATTTATGTTTCCAAGGAAACAGAACTTTGAGTATGCTTCTCAACCCAGGTTTGAGATTTGATTTGCTTTGAGCTAGCTTCTCAAGCACTGCCTGATTTAGATTTTACCTACATTCCTTTCTTTCCCTAAATACTATAATGATTTCTCATTTCTTCCTTTTAAAAAAAATTTTAAAATATTTTTTTGTAGAGATAGAGTCTTGTTATGCTGCCTAGGCTGGTCTGGAACTTCTTGTCTCAAGTGATCATCTCTGCTCAGCCTCCCATAGCTCCCATAGTGCTGGGATTATAGGTGTGAGCCACCGTCACCCACCGCCACCCCCCTTCCACTGCCCCCCCCCCTTTTGAGACATGCCCATAATTCCTCTGCTGTATGTGTCCTTTGTTTTAGCAAGTTAATGAACCTAACTTTGTTGGGTTACTGGTTTGCTCCTGATGATCTTTATTAGATGGGCTTTATCAACAGCTAAAATTATTTGAGCTCAAATAACTAATTTCAGTTTTTAGACTCTCTCAGGCTACCTTTTAGAATACCTTTTAGAGTATTTAGAATACCTTTTAGAGTACCTTTTAGAATACACTGTCAGTGGGTCATCCCTATCTTTCCTCTGAATGTTTTGAAATCTATTTCCTAAATAGACTATGTTTTTGTCTAACTTTGCTTGCTTTATTGTTACAAACTCCAGGATGACACAGTCACTTTCTCCGGTTTCCCAACACTTTTAGATCATTCTGCACTTTATTAGAGAATTAGTAATTTTCCCTCTTGTTCTCCTGAGTGACTTCTTTGGACCTTTAGGATTCAGCCACAAAATCATTTTCTTTTTCAAGCCTTAAATGAAAGCTCTAGACAAAACTGAGTATTTTCTTGTTTGTGCTCTCATAGTGCTTTGTTCATACCTCTAATATGATGGCTATGCATATATAATTTTTTTCATGTTTTTCTTCTCTAACAGCCTCTACAGAATAGGGATTATGATCTGTTCATCCTTGTATTCTCTGTGCCAGGCATACCTAATTACCTAATGTTACATGAGGTAATGAGAATGTCAACATAACAAATGGAGAATTTAGAAGCTTCACTTTTGTATAATTTACAATTGAATGTTGAGCACTCCTACAGCATGCCATTATTTCCTACCCTGTATTAGGCAACCACCAATTTACATGGCAAAAACACGAATGGCACCACTATTTTGTAGGCTACTTTAATATCTATGTGCATTATCGAGGTTTTAGGAACTTTATTTTCTGACTGACACACTTTTCTCCAGTTTCCTCAACTAAAAACAGCGATTCACTAAGTTACTGTATACACGCTAGTCTAAATGCTAAGGATAACAATTCTTGCAGCATAGGGTCAGACAGAAGAATGCTGTAATCTGTAAAGCCCCTCTGAATCTGGGAGGAAGGCCAGCATTAATACAATGAAGGATTGTTACCTCTGAATGTCCCTTTGCAAAGAACAGCGTTTCTCAAACTTTTTGTTTGATCAGTCCTACATAAAGAAATTACATTTTATATCGCCAGCCGCGATATATCCAAAAATCCGAAATAAAAATTTCTCAAAACAACTCCTTTACGAGGTAATGTACTCTGAGACTTTTCTATTGTGTTCTATTCTTGTCAATTTCATTAAAAATATAAGGCGGTGGTCCAGATCTACCAAACTGATTTCACAATCCCCTAGAGATTATACTCTCTATAATATAATCTATAGTTCCCAACTGTTTTGTTTTCAACCCAATAATTACTGTGCCTCCGTGTTTTGCGTCATCGCTCCGTGGTGGGGCCGCTGCCCTTCTTCCCGGGCTCCTTTAAGAGGGTGGTAAGGGCCCATCGCAGGGGAGCGGAGAGGCAGGGCCCGCTCTTCCAGTTCTTGTGAAAGCCAGGGTGTGTGTGCTGAGGGTGGGAGGGCAGGGGTGAGGCAAACGCAGCAACACAGCCTTGTGTGGGTGAGCGGCAGCAGCTGGAAGATCTGTAGCGTCCCGCCGCCGCGTTTCCGGAGACCCCGCGGAGGTCCGCGCGTGCGCACAGCGCGCCCCGGGACTGTTCCGCCCTCCGGAGCGCCCGCGCGCGCAGCCGCCGAGCCAAAGTCCAAGGTGGGCTCCGGCGCGCGAGGGGCGCGGCGGCGCGCGCCAGGGGGCGGTCCTGCGCGCAGGCCGGCACCGCCCATCCTCCGCGCGCTCCTCTCCTCCCAGTCTCCTCCGCGCTTCCTGCACTAAGGCAGTCGCCGCCGCGTCCCCTTTGCCGGCTCGCTCGCGCTGGCGGAGCCATGGCGGCCTTCAGCAAGTACTTGACGGCGCGAAACTCCTCGCTGGCGGGGGCCGCGTTTCTGCTGCTCGTCCTGCTCCACAAGCGGCGCCGCGCCCTCGGCCTGCACGGGTAAGGAGGCCCGTGGCCCCGCCGCCTGCCCGGCCCGGGCGGGCGCTCCCCGCACGCTCTCTCTCCCCGCCGGCGCCCTGCCGACGGGTCCCTTTGCCCGGCGGGGTCAGGAGGAGGGAGGGCGGGCGGACCGCGACTGCTGCCAGGCTTCAATGTCAGGTTGTCCCTGTCCGGCGACCTCGCTCTCTCCCGGGGAGTGTGACTCTTTCTCCAGCGCCAGCGAGCAGCGCCCCAGCCCGAGGCGATCCCCTCCTGTCGAGGGAAGCCGTGTGTCCCCCCGCACTTTTCCCATACCACCTCTTTTCTGTGTCAACTTTCTGCTGTGTTCTAGTTTTGCCCTCTCATCCCCAGACAGACTGTGAAGGATTTGTTTTGGGGACGTGGGTTGTGTGATTTGAGGATGGGGATTGGGTTCGCCAACCTGGACGCTGTTGTCTAAATCGCTTGGCTGAGGTTTGTTTGGCTCGGATTCCCGAATAAATTGGTGCTGGAAGTCGCGAGGTGGTTCCCTGTGAACTATCTGTCCTGGGTCCTCTTGGCACGATTGCCTTCTAAAGTGGTGCCCCCTTGGAGTTGGTCGGTGGACGCCCTGGCATTTCATCAGGAAAGGCTGAATCGATTATGTTGTAATTGGAGGGCAGCGTTCCCTCCCTTGATACTGTAGGTGAAAGGTTAAAGTGTATTTTAGGTGAGGATCAAGATTCTTTGTAATTACACTCTACTGCTTCCACTATAAGTGAATTTTAATGTTTAGATTTAACTTTGGGAGGTTATAAGATCAGAGAAAGGGAGAGAGAGAATCGAGTTACGATTGTGCAATTATAGGCTTAGCAATTTTTATTTGCTGGGCTGCACTTGCCTTCAGCAAATGAATGAGAAATGTTATTTCTCAAGCATTTGCCAGTCAGAGTTTTCATATTAAATCTTGGCGTGCTGCTTTCATGCATTTTATTTCATTCATCCCTCTGGGCAGGTATTGTTGCCTCCTGTTTTTGGTTTGCCTAAAATATCTAATCAGTAGTAGGATTTGGACTGAAGCACTGAGAGGTGGACTCTTAGGTCATAGTCCCCTTTCCACGAAGTTTTCTCTAGCCTTCTCCTATCTTATTAAAGTCTGAAACGATGGTCTTTCTTTTCCTTCTTTCATCTGCTTAATACAGTTGAAAATGATTTTCGCATAGTCCAGACAATACAGTACTTACTACTTTTCTTCTATTCAGTTTGCTTTTTAAAATGATATAAAAATATAAATATAGAACACATTTTTCTATTGGTTTTTATGCCTTTGAGCTTCCAGTTGCAAATGGAAGTTACCTATTATCTGGAAATATAACAATAGAAAATGTTATATGCTTTAATTTTGATTACATTTTTTAAGAGAAGTGTTTCAGCATAGAACAGGTGTTTTAGTATGGGGGAGGGGACTTGAGGACAACCCTAAAAGCGCTGGCTTACTTTTATGATTTTTTTAAAAAAAACTTTACTGGAGTATCACATACATACAGAAGAGTACACATACCATAAGTGTAGAGCTTGACGAATTTTTCTGAGTAGAATACACCTGTGTAATCAACATCCAGATCAAGAAACAGAATATTATCAGCATCCCAGAAACTCTCCTAATGCACCCTTCTAGTCATAGTCCAAGATCTACTAAACTGATTTATAAGATCATAGATTATTGAGTAAGGGAAACTTTATAAACATTATCTAATGGGAATTAGTAGCAATAGCAGTAAAATAATATAATAGGATTTGTCTTATTAAATAATTTTAGCTGCTCATTGGCCATTGTAAAATGCTTTAAAAATCTCTTTTTGAGACACTTTGTGAACTTTTGGAGGGATTAAATTATTCAGCAGGTAATTTACTGAACAAAAGATTGTTGTTAGTATTTTGCATTGGAATGAGTAAGGAAAATATTCATTTTACACATTAAATATTTTGCGGGAGGAGAATACAGATTATGAGCAGATAAGCATGAAGTTTAAATTTCTGAGATGAAATGATTGAACAACTTTGAAACTATTAAGAATGACATTGTTTTGGTAAATCTTTGTAGATGGTATACTTCCAGAATCTTAGGAATATTTTTTAGTAACTAACTTTGGTGTCACAGTTTGAAGATTAGAAGATTCTAACTTTATATTTTACTGGCTTTTTGGATGTCTTTGGTTATAACAGGACTAGTTAATTTTAATACCTGTTGCTTAATTAAGGAATTAGTGGCTAATTGACCTTTTGTCTATGTTGTTAACAGTAGGTTTGTCTTAGAATATGTATTCCCTTGGAACTGGATAGATTAATAGAGCTAGTAAAACCATTTAAAAAGTTACAATGTAGCATTATTCCAAACATTAGAATGAGTAATATAATGTTCTAGGTTATTTTTAATTTTTGTTAATATACTTTTTTCCACCCAGTTAAACCTCATCTGTGTGGGTGTGTATGACCTTGTGTTATGGAAAATTTCACACATATACAAATTAAATAGAATAATGATCCCCCTGTACACTTTCCCCTAGAAGTACCAACAACATTCTGCTGTTCTTGTTTCTCTATATGTACCTACTGCTCACTCCTTCTTTTACAGGTTTTAGGCTAAATTTATATACATTGAAATGAACAAATCTTAATTTTACATTTTTTAAACAAATGGATATACTTGTGTAACATACCCCCATCACAGATTAGACCGTTTATATCTCCCCAGAAAGTTCCTTGTATTAATTCCAGTCATTTCCTACCACGATTGTGCTAATTTTTTAGTTTTGCCTAATCATACATTTTATTTTTTTATTATTTGTGGGTAAAAGTGGAAACTTTTTATTCATGGATAAGGAGGGTCATTTATTCATTTCAAAGTCATTGTCTCTGTCAGAATGTTATATGACTGTGCCATGTGTTTTAGGATATATATACACATATATAGGTATGTGTGTACGTATATTACATGCATTTAAAAAATATAAGACATCTTTTCTCAAGGAACATGCATTCTTGTTAGGGAGAAGAAACTTAAACACAAAGTAGTTAAAAATGAAAGGTGATGACAGAATGAAGTACATAGACATGCCTAGAAGTTCTGAGAAAGGCGAGATTACAGTGTTTGGGAAGAGTTAGGGAAGGCTTTATGAAGGATGTGACCTAAGCTTAAAAAGGGAGTGGATAATTGGAATAAATTGAACATTATAGCAGCCTTTATCAAATTTTTGTTGCATTAATGGTCGGAAGAAACTTTGTGGTGCCCTTTCAATCTGTTTTCCACTGCCACCAGACCTCTTTTTAAGGTACCCAGATGTAATCCTAATATTCCTTCATTAAAATCTTTCAGTTACTCTGAAATACAAACTTCTTATATTCATGATCTGGTCCTTGTCTACCTTTCCTCCTCATACAGCCATATGGAACATCTTGTAGTCTCAGTATGACAAGCTCTGCCCAGCCACTGTCATCCCCACCCTCTAATACTTATTTTCCTTCAAGACTCAGTCAGCATTTTCTCTTAGGTGTTTTCTGTCTTTTCCTGATCTCCAAGCTGATGCAGGTGTCCTCTGCTTTTATGATATTCTAAGCATTCCTCTGCTCTTGCAGTTCCATTCTGTATTATACTAGTTTGTTTTCTTGGCTTCTGCCTACATTAGACCCTGAGTTTCTTGTAGGCATGGACTGAGTCATCTTTAAATTCCTAGTTTGGATTTGCCATGGGATAGACACTCAGTAAGTATTTATAGAGAAGATAAATGATATGGGATAGTTGGAGAACTTTTAAGGGTAATTGACAGGCAGTTGGAGATGTGGGACTAGTACAAATATGAATAGAGGTGTTATGTTCATAGAAGTAATAGTTGTGTACTTCGGAGTATATAACATAACTTAGGTAATATATGAAATCAGTAGGCCAATTTTAGAAGTCAGGGAAAGGGACCAATCTGTATTGCCACAGTATTTTACTATCTTAACTCCCCCCCCCCAAAAAAACCACAACAGAACAAAGCAGTTTCTTTCTCTTCCCATTATTGCTTGTCAAATAAAGTTCAGATTTCTCATCTTGGATTTCAGAGCCTGCCTTAGTCTGGTCTCACTTTACCTGGCTAATCTTATATGCCATTGCCTGCCAGCAGGTACTATGTGTTTCAAATAGTCCAGTTTCTGCATTGTTCTTTGAACAGGCCGTCCTCATTCCAGGTTTTGGAGCTTTATTCAAACCATTAGCCATACCTGGAATATCTCTTTGTATATTTTGTTCTCCAACTCTTATCATCCTTAAAGCGGGTGAGGTCAGGGGTCACTCCTTCCATGAAGTATTATTTAGCTACTCTAGATGATTTAAATGATGACCACCTCCTTTTTAACCTTCTGAAGCATATTGACGTACCTTTCTTGTTTACCTATTCACTACTTGACTGGGTGTAATCTGTGTGTACCAAAGTCCACCAGTTTATGGGGGGGCGCTTCTTCTCCCTTTTTAAAACCCTAAGCTGTAAATGGTGAGAACACAGTTTCTTCTGCCAAATATTTCTGAGGAGTTTCAAGGAGCTTATGTTTCTCTTTGCTTCTTTGCTTCTGCTCTATTTTAGATCCCATTTACATCTTGTCTCTTGAGCATGTCTCTTTTTTGGTATCTACTTTGATTTCTCTAAAGTATCAGTCACTAAGCAGGTATTTGTAGTAAAGTTTTTTTGAAAATTTGGGAGGAGGGGCGGGGAATATATCCCAGCATAGTGAACAGCTTAAAATTCTTAGGAGTTCCTTGGACATTCCCACTACTGGAAATTTTTTGACTATTTT